CAGGTTTAGTGTTTTTCGACAGGTTTAGTGTTTTGCGGGGTTTCCACTCAACGGCACAGGTTCTAAACTAGGGCACAGGTTATTAACCAGGGCACAGGTTATGACCTATGCCACAGGTTATGAACTAGGGTCCAAGCTCTGAATTAGGGGGCAGGTTATGAACTAGGGCACATGTTATTAACTAGGGCACAGGTTATAAAATATGGCACAGGTTATGAACTATGGCGCAGGTTATAAACTATGGCACACGTCATAGACCACGGCACAGTTTATAAACTAGGACACATTTTATAGACTAGGGCACAGGTTATAAACTTGGACACAGGTTATATATTGGGGCACAGGTTATGAAGTAGGGCGCAGGTTATAAACTGGGGCACAGGTTATAAACGAGGGCATATGTTATAAACTAGCGCACAGGTTATAAACTAGGGCACATGTTATACACTAGGGCACAGGTTATAGACTAGGGCACAGGTTATAAACTAATGCACAGGTTATAAACTGGGGCACAGGTTATAAACTAGTTCGTAGGTTATAAACTAGGGCACACGTTATGAACTAGGGCGCAGGTTATGAACTAGAGCACAGATTATAAACTAGGGCACAGATTATAAACTAGGGCACATTTTATAGACTAGGGCACAGGCTATAAACTAGGGAACAGGTTATAAACTGGGGCATAGGTTATAAACTAGGGCACAGGTTATCAACTAGTGCACAGGTTATAAACTAAGGCACAGCTTATAAACTATGGCACAGGTTATAGACTAGGGCACAGATTATAAACTAGGGCACAAGTTATAGACTAGAGCATTGTTTATAGACTATGGCATAGGTTATGAACTGGGACACATGTTATAAACTAGGGCATAGGTTATAAAGTAGGGCACAGGTTATAAACTAGGGCACACGTTATAAACTCGGGCACCGGTTATGAACTAGGGCACAAGCTCTGAATTTGGGCGCAGGTTATGAAGTAGCGCACAGGTTATTAACTAGGGCACAGGTTATAAACTAGGGCACAGGTTCTAAACTAGGGAGCAGGTTATAAACTGGGGCACAGGCTCTAAACTATGGAACAGGTTATTAACCATGCCACAGGTTATTACCTAGGTCACAGGTTATGAACTTGGGCACAGGTTATAAACTAGAACACAGGTTATAAACTAGAGCACAGTTTATAAACTAGGGCACAGGTTATAAACTAGGGCACAGGTTATGAACTAGGGCACAGGTTTTAAACTAGGGCACACGTTGTAGACTAGGACACAGGTTATAAACTAGGGCACAGGTTATAAACTAGGGCACAGGTTATAGTCTAGGGCACAGGTTATAAACTAGGGCACAGATTATAAACTAGGGCACATTTTATAGACTAGGGCACAGGTTATAAACTTGGACACAGGTTAT